GAAGAACTGATGATTTTGAGCTGCGGTGTTGGGAAAGAATACTGAAAGTACCATGGACTGCTAAAAGAACTAACAGGTCTGTCCTGGAGAAAGTGCAGCCAGAATGCTCCTTGGAGGTAAGACTGGCCAGACTTCATCTCACATACTTTTGTCATGTTGTCAGAAGGGACCATTCCCTGGAAAAGGATGTTATGCTTGGTAAGGTGGAGGGTCAATGAAAGAGGGGAAGGCCCTCAACAAGATGGATTGACATGGTGGCAGCAGTGAGGGGCTCAAGTATAGCAAGGATCATGGAGCTGGCTCAGGACCGGGTGATGTTTCATTTTGCCGTGCATAGGGTTGCTATGAGTCAGAGATGACTCAACGGCACCTAACAACAACAACAACAAACTCCTTCACTAGCTTCTACTCTCAACAACTCAGACAAAATCAAGCCTCCATAGCTTTGAATTCTATGTTACTATATTCTATATAGGAGCTCTGGTAGCATAGTGGCTAAAGCACTTGACTGCTAACCAGAAGCCTGGCGGTTCAAAACCACCAGCCACTCCTCAGAAGGAAGGTTGGGCAATCCTACTTCCCTAGTGATACTGCCTCGGAAACCCAAGGAGGGGTCGCTATGAGTCGGGGCAGACTCGATGGCAAATAACAACAACAACAAAGAAGATATGTTAAAGTGCCTCATTAAATTCTACATTATAAGAGTATATACTCTGATGAAACTTTTACAAGAAGCATATTTTACTATTTGTGAACAAAACATAAATATAAATTTAGACTAATTTAACTATGTCCTTCAACAATCCTCTTTACCTGAGGTGAGCATACTACTGGCTTCTGGAGGCCTAATCCAGCCTTCCATCTGTTTTTATAAATAGTTTTACTGGAACACAGCCACAGTCATTCATTTAGGTATTATTACCTATGGCTGCTTTCTATGTCTGCAGTTGGATACATGTAACAGAGATTCTATCAATTTGGGCCTCTAAAGACTAAAATATTTTACAGAAAAAGTTTGCTGACCTCTGCTTTTACCATTACTTTTTATGGAAAAACTGCTTCTGCGTTTATCAAGCAGAGTATTTCGTTAAGAGTACATCTCTAACATAAAACAAATCTCTGGTTGTTAAGTTGCTGACACGTAAGGCAGGCTCATAAAGTATATATATGACACAAAGCTGAGAAATAACAATAAAGATTTTTAAAATCTCAACATTAAAGCCTTAAGTAGAAATCAATGAAGGTGAAAAATTATAATGGTACTGGCTGTAAAAATCCTAACAACTTGTTGCTCTTACTGTCAGGTGCTGCAGAGTCTGTTCCAACTCATAGCAACCCTCTGTACAACAGACTGAAAAACTGCCCAGTCCCTTGCCATCTTCATCGCTGCTATCCTTGAGCCCATAGGTGCACCACTGTGTGAATCCATGTTGTTGAGAGTCTTCCTCCTTTGTACTACTTTACCAAGCATGATGTCCTTCTCCAAAGAACAGTCCCTCTTGATAACATATACAATATTAGTGAGAGAAATCTTGCCATTCTCGCTTATGAGAGGCATTCTGATTGTCCTTCTTCCAAAACAGATTTGTTCCTTCCTCTGGCAGTCCATGCTTTATTCCATATTCTTCACCAACACTGTAATTCAAATGCATCAATTCTCCTGTGTCTTCCTTATTCACTGTCCAGCTCTCGCATGCATATGAGACAACCATAAGGTACACCTCAGTCCTCAAAGTAACATCTTTGTTCTTTGTCACTAAGAGGTCTTTTAGAGCAGATTTGCTCAATGTGATACATCATTTGATTTCTTGACTGCTGCTTCTGCAAGCATTGACTGTGGATCCAAGTAAAATGAAATCCCTAACTTCTATCTTTTCTACATTTATCATGGTGTTGCTTATTGGTCCCAGTTGCGATGATTTTTGTTTTCTTTGAAATGTAATCCATATTGAAGGCTGTAGCCTTTGATCTTCATTAGTAAGTGCTTCAAGTCACCTTCATTTTCAGCAAGCAGGATTGTGTAATCTGCATATCACAGGTTGTTAATGAGCCTTCCTTCAATAATGATGCTACTGATCCTCTTCATATAGCTGAGCTTCTCAGATTATTTGCTCAGCATACAGATAGAGTAAGTATAGTGAAAGGA